GCCTGGACCCTGATGAGGAGGGGTCCGGCCCCTCCCCTGGAGCGGGGCCTGGTCTCCTTGGGCCACAGGCCCTGAGCCGGCGCCAGCACGGACTGGTCCTGTGGGCAGACTGGAGGCAGAACTCATACTGATGACCTTCTCTCTTTGGAACTTCTTTTGGGGGAAGCGTTGCTGAGGACAGGCTAGTCGGTCCTGAGTAGGCGCATTGCTGGATATCATTTTTAAATATGGCTCTTAAAAACCTGTCATTTCAAATAGGTATTTGTGTTATTACTAGGAACATAAACATGACATGGGTAGGAAAGGGTTTCATGAATCACAGTGGAACCGATAAGTTAAATTTGACACATTAAAATTGGTAGAATTCTACTTGACAGGAGTCACCATGAAAAGGGTTAAAATATAAGCAAGGCCCTCACTGGGAGAAGGCATTTGCGGCACGATTTCAGAACACAAAAGGTCTGATACGAACCATGGAAAATGACTACCGACCAAGAGGAAGATGACCAAAGAAGCGGCCGAGAAAATGCACGGAGTGGACAGCGACGAGCCCGTGAACTCCGGAGAAGGCGCTCGGCGTCGCCGGGACTTGGGGAGAAGCCACGTGTCGGGTCCGCACACACCCAGGGGTGACGAGCGCGTGGGGTCCGGAGCACGCAGACGGCACACGCCCGAGCCCAGGCGAGGCGGCAGGAGGTCCTCGCCGTGAGCAAGGCGGCGCGTCGAGGGACAGTGACTGCAGCTTCGCATCCACGGGGACACCCGGACCAGCCCCCGGCGTCGGGAGGGTGCTGAGTGTGCCCCGGGAAACAGTTCGAGGAACCAGATAGCTGCCAGGTGACTCGGTGTGGACGAGTCCCAGGAAGATGACGCTGCAGCGAAAGGTGCTCCGCGGAGCTAAGCACGCACGGGCCGCCGGCGTGGAACTGAGCGGGCACCGGCCACTGTTCGCTTTGGGCGCACTGCCGGATGGAGGCGAGCGGGCAAGCCCCCACTGCCCCCACACGCCCAGGGCTGGAGGCCTCGCCCACTCGGGCGCCTTCTCCGAGGGGAAGGGGACGGCTCTGGGGGCTGTGAGCAGGTGTCAGAGCTTGGGGTGGGCAGCGGTGCTGCGAGTGTTTAAGGTGCGCTCCGCACTTCTGGGGGTGTCTGGGGAACACCGGCCTGACCTCGCCTCCCTTCCTCCTGCCCCAGTTCCAGATTTTGGAAGGTTCACCAGCATCCCCGATGTGCCCTCCCAGCTGCAGACGGCGTCCCTGGAGGACCTGCTGTGCCCACACGCCCCCCTCTCCGGCGAGGACGACGCCGCCCCCAGCTGTGCGACCTCCTCCCACACGCCCTTCAAGGCTTTCCTCAGCCCCTCGGAGCTGCATGCGCCCCGAAGCACCGACAGGAAGCTGCCCCCGCTCCTGAGCCCCCTGCAGGACCCGCTGGTGGACAAGACCCTGCTGGAGCCCAGGGAGATGGCCCGGCCCAAGAAGGTGTGCTTCTCAGAGAGCAGCCTGACCTCGGGCGACAGGACCCGGAGGAGCTACTACCTTAACGGTAGGCAGGGCGGGCCCCGGGCGGCGCCGCACAGCGGCCGCGGCGGGGAAGGGGGTCTGGTGGCCAGCTGGGCACGGCTTCTCTCTCCGCTTGGCGAGGCGAGGACAGTGTGCCTGGGAGGCCAGGGGCTGGGGCTGCGCCCGTTCTGATCCTTTTCCAATTTAAAGAAAATCGAGTTGCTCATCTTCTCGAGGGTACGAGTTCGTGTACAGCCTGGATGCCAGTCCCCCTGGGGGACACGCTTTGCAGATGTGGCCTCCCAACTGGTGTCTTTTCCATTTTCGTAACAGTGTTTTTTGAAGAGCAACACTATTTAATTCGACAAAGTCTGATTTGTGGACTTCTTTTCTTTTATACACTTCATGCTTTTTGTGTCCTATTTAGGAAATTTTCGCCAAAGTCAAAGTCACAAAGATGATCTCTGCTGTGTTCTTCTAGACGATGTATAGTTTCAGGTTTTACGTTTAGGTTCCCGGCCAGTCTCAAGCTAACCTTTGCGCGTGGTCCGAGGTCTGCATTAGGTCTCCAGATCTCGCAGCACCGGTGTCTTCCTGGTGAATCGACTGGACGTATCTGTCAACGGCCGGCTGCCCGTACGTGCACGCGTGTTGCGGGGTGCTCCGTGCTGCCTGGGCGTGTCGTGTCGATTCCAGTGCACGCGGGCTGGGTGGCCACAGCCGTACACTGATGCCCTAAATCAGGGTGTCCAGGTTCTCCCGCTCCGCTGTTTCTTCAGCGTTGTTCTGGCTGTCCTGGTCCTTCGCATCTCCCTGGGACTTCACAGCCAGCATGCGCTGGGAAAGCTGCTGGGGTTCGGTTGGGGTCGTCCTGGCTCTGCAGGCCCAGCCGGTACCCGGCGAATGACACTTTGACGGTGGTGGGTCTCCAGGCCCGTGAGCGCTGTGCCATCGTACATCCTTCCGCTTCCTTGGTTGGGCAGGCATTTGGTCAGACGTCACCCTGGGCATGCTGAGTATTCCTCTGAGGGTGTTTTCGGATGAGTGCAATATTTAAATTCACAGATTGAGTAATGCAGATTACTCTCCTTAACGTGGGTGGGCCTTGTCCAATCAGTTGAAGGCCCAAAGAGGACCAAAGGGCCGACCCTCTCTGGAGGGAGAGAGTTCGTCCCGCCAGCGGCCTCCGGGCGGGAGCCACACCATCAGTCCTCTTAGTTCTCAGACCTTCGAACTCAGACTGGAACCACAGCCTCAGCCCTCCTGGGCCTCCGGCTTGCTGACTCACCTTGCAGACCTTGGGACTTGTCAGTCTCCATACTCATGTGTGCCGATTTGCCAGTTTCCTCCCTCCCTCTCTCTCTCTCTCTCTCTCTCTCACACACACACACATACACACACTCACGTGCATACACACAACACTATTGGTTTTGTTTTTGTTTCTTTGGAGAATCCTAACAAATGTAGCCTTTATTCCTGCAGATTTTCTGGACTCAATTGTTTGTTTTAGCAGCTTTAAAAAAAAAGATTCCTTAGGGAGGATAGTCGTGTCAATTGTGAAGAAAGACAAAGTCCTTTTTTTGTTTCTAGTCTGTATGCCTTTTATTTCTTTTTCTTGTCTTACTGCATTGGCTAGAACCTCTGGAACAATGTCGAATTGGAATGGTGACAGCGAGCACTGGTTTCCTTCCTGGTTTAGGGGGAAAGCATTCAATCCGTCACCGTTAAGCATGTCAGCTAAGGATTTTGTAGGCGCCTTACCACATTGAGGATTGTTCTTTAATTTCTAGTTTGCTTAGAGTTATCATGAATGGATGTTAGACTTTGTTGAATGCTTTTTATCCATTTATTGAGAAGAGCATTTGGTTTTCTTTTGTAGTGTGTTAATATGGCAAATTACATCGATTGATTTTTGTATTTTAAAACCACCCTTGCATTCCTGAGATAAATCCCACTTGGTCATGATGTATTACACGTTGTGGTGCTGTTGGATTCAATGCGCTAAATTTTTGTTAAGAATTTTTCCGTCTGTGAGGGATCGTGGTCTATAGTTTCCTTGTAATGTCGTTTTCCGGTTTTGGTGTCAGGTTAATGTTGACCTCGGTGAATGAGGTGGAAGGTGTTCTATCATTAATTACCCAGAAGAGTTTCTGTAAGGCTGGAATTATTCATTCCTTAGGCGTTTGGTCAAATTTACCACTGAGTCTTGAATTTTCTTCGTAAGACTATTTCCCCTCCACACGTTCAGTTTCCTTCATTGATATAAAGCTATTCGAATGACCTGTTTCTTCTTAAGAGAGCTTCGACAGTCCAGTCACGAAAGTGAGCTCTCATGCCTTTTAAGGAACTGGTCCATCTCGTTGAAGTCGTCAAGTTTATCGGCATGGAGTTTTCCTCGTGTTCTGTTATTATCCTTCTGGCATCCGTAGGATCTGTAGTCATGCCGTCTGTAAATTCTGATGGTGGTATTTTTTTTTTGTCTCCTTTCTCCTTTTCTGTAGTAAAAGAGGTTTGTCGATTTTACTGACTTTTTTCTTTGAGGAATAGGTTTTTGGCTAGATCTTAGAGGGCCCATGTTGGGCTACGCATGGTTTCTAGAACATCTCGGGGGGAGCTCATTCCTTCTATCTGATTTATACTGTAGAGAGAGAGGGAGGCAGGGGAGTGTCGGGTTCCCCACGAGAGAAGCGCGTTAATATGGGGGCGGGGTGCGCGTCGCCCCTCTGCGCCCCTCGTCTGCACCGACACGCTTCTGAACAGTGTGTTTGGTTCTCAGCTTTAAATCCCGAGTAACTTCGGCAGATTTGCAACGTGATTCGGGGAGGAATACACTGAAAACTACAAAGCGTTGTCGAGAGGAACTAAAGAAGAATGAAATAAATGGGAAAATGTCTTGTGCTCATAGATCATAAGACAATATGATCAAGACGGCAAAGCTCCCCACATCGATCCACAAAAATCAGTGCGACCCCTATTGACATCCCACTTGGCTTCTTTGCAGAAATTGACAGGCTTATCCTAAAATTCAGATGGAAATGAAAGGGACCCAAAATAGGCAAAACGATCTTTATAAAGGAGAACAAAATTTGAGGGTCCACACTTCCCAATTTCAAAACTTACTCCGAAGCTATAGTAATCAGGACGGCGTGGTGGCCGAAGACGGACAGACAGGGCGACGAGAGCCGGCAGGCCGGGAGCGAGCCCCCGCGGGCGCAGGTCTGGCGTGCGCCAGGCGACCCAGTGCGGGGAGAACGGTCCTTTCAGTGAGCGGCGCTGGGACCAGGGGGTATTCGCATGCAAAAGAACGAAGCTGGACCTCACGACACGTATGACGATTAACGCGAAATGGATCAAAATGTTGGAAGACCGAAAGGAGCGGAAACCAAAAAACTCTTGGGAGAAAACAGATAAATCTTATGACCATCAATTTGGCAATCAATTCTTAGACGTGACACCGAAAGCATGAACAACAAGAGAAAAAAATGATGCGTTAGGCGTTATCAGAAATAAGAACTGTACGTTTCAAAGGAATGCATTTCGATAAAGTGAAAAGTCAACCCACAGAATGGGAGAAAATATTTGTAAATCATGTATCTGATGAGGGTGTAGTATCCAGAACATCTTAGAACTTTCGCAACTCAACAGTAAAAAGACAAATCATCCAATTAAAAATGGGGTAAGAACTGTAACAGCTATTTGCCGAAGAAGACATACGAATGGCCAATGAGCATGTGAAAATGCACTCAGTGCCATTGGTCGCCAGTGAAATGCCAATGAAAACCACAGGGGGACACCACGTCCTACCCCCTCGGAGGCCCAGATGAAGACGGCGGACCGTGGTCGGGGAGGGTGTGGAGAAGCGGAGCCCTTCGGACCTCGCCTCCGAGGAAAATGGCTCACAGGTCCTCAGGGCCAAACAGAGTTGCCACGACACCGGCAATTCTGCTCCGAGGTGCGGACCCAAAGGAATCGAAAACGTTTGTCCACATAACTTTTGTCTGAACTTTTTGTCTGTTCATAGCAGCATGATTCCTAATAGTCAAAAAGTGGGAACAGCCCAGACGCCTGTCCCTGGGCGACTGGATAAACGAGAGGTGGCATATCCGTACGACGGAATTGTCATCGGCCACAGCAGCAGTGAAGTTCTGACAGACATCAAACAGGGGAGGGACTCGAGGACACGATTCCGCTGACGGCTAGTCACCCAAGGCCACGGACTGTGTGGCCTCGTTCACGCGAAACGCCTCAGCGGGTCGGTCCCTCGGGGCCGGGTCAGTCATTGCGGGTGTGTGTGGAGACTGTGTGACTGCTCATGGGTATGCGCTTCGGGGTGTTTTGGTGACAAAAATGTCTTGGAAATAGATGGTGGTGATGGTCGCACAGCTCTGCGGATAGAGCCGCAGACTGTAGAAGAGAGAATTTTGCAGTATGTGAATCCCGTCTCAATAAGCGCCATCCCGAGTGGCTGGGGCAGGGTGTGGCCTCAGCTCCTTCGGCTGTGAGTGGGGTCTGCAGCCCCACAAAGGGTTGCTGTGGGGTGAATGAGTCACAGAAGGGGTGTGCGGGAGCAGAAGCCCACCAAGACCCCTTTCCGCTCTGGCTCAGAGGTCCGAAGGCTGTGCTGGGAGCGGCCGCAAGACCACTGGACACCCTGCCCCAGCGCCCGGCCCTCTGCCCCCACGGCTCCTCTCTCGCCCTGCCCCAGGGCCCCAGACAGGGATGTGCCAGGCTCCGGGTCACGTGGCTCGGGCGGGGCCCTCTACCTGGGCCGGCCCCGCCCCTGCGGCCCCTCCCTCGCCCTGTCCCCTGAGGCCTGCAGGGCCTGGTCCCTGGACCTGGGTGGAGGGACAGGCCACGCCCATCGTCAGCAGTCTGCCAGCGGAGGGGAGGTGCCGACACCTGCACTTGTCAAGGCCGTGCTGACAGCGGTGGCACTCCCACGTGGGAGCCACTGGGCTGGGTTCTGGGCCGACTGGGTCTGTGGACACGGGTTGGGGCCGAGGGAGAGTGAACCAGTGCCCTGTGTCATGGGCAGAGCAGGTCCTGGCGCTTGGCGTGCGTGCCACGCAGATGGCCCCTGGGCAGGGAGGTCCCGGGGCTTCGGGGCGGCTTCGGAAATGGGCTGGTGGGGAAGTGTCTCCTGCTGGGGCAGCCTGCACCTGTGGCCGCTGCCACCTGTCCCTCCTGTGCGGCTCTGTCTCAGAGGCGGTGACAGCTGTCACTGGCAGGGTGTTTTCGAAGAGCATGGTGGTTCTCAGGCTGTGGACACCATCGTGGCTGTGCGGCCAGTACTATTGACCTTGGGGCTGCTGCTGGGCCCGGAGACTGGAGGGGAGGGTGCTCGGAGTGCTCGGTAACCTCGGGACATGATCGACAGTGGGTCCCCCCGCCCGCCCAGCGACGCCCGCAGACGGAGGGGGCGGCAGGGGCTCGGGAGCCAGCCTGGCCCGCGCCGGCCCCACAGGCGGCGGCACGGCGGGCGCTGTGCGTGTCCTCAGGCCAGCCGCTGTCTGCCATCCACGTTCACCCGCTCGTGGGGTGGGGGCTTTGCGACAAGGAGAATCTCCCTGACCCAGGTGCTGGGCAGACTCCCTGGTGACGGGGACAAGGAAAACAACCCTGGGCTGTAAAATAGGCCTAGAAATGTTTTCGTCTGTCTCGAAGAGACGGAGAAGGACTTAGCGTCCCCGGGTTCCCGGGGGACTCGCCAAGGAAAGGGAGGAGAGGAAAAGGCCCCTTCCGTTTGAGACAGGAAGCTCGGTTTTCTTTTAAAGCTGTATTTACCGTCGCATCGGGGCAGGAGGGGTGCGCCCCACACCGGATCGAGGCCAGGGAGGGGCAGGAGTTAGAGCTGACTGCAGCAGTTAGGCCGGCCCCTCAGATGGGTCCTGGAGCGCGGGCCGGAGAGGGCGGTGGCTCCAGACCTCACGTCAGGGGCCTGGCCCGTGTCGCTGTCCGCCGCTCCGCAGAGATCCAGAGCTTCGCCGGTGCCGAGAAGGACGGGCGCGTCGTGGGCGAGATCGCCTTCCAGCTGGACCGGCGCATCCTGGCCCATGTCTTCCCTGGGGTGACACGGCTCTACGGCTTCACCGTGTCCAACATCCCCGAGAAGATCAAGCAGGTGTGGCCCTGCCTGGCCGTCTGTCCCAGGTCCCCTCCCGACCCGGACCCCTCCCGACCGGGTCCCCTCCCGACCCAGGTCTCTCCCCACCCGGGCCCCCTCCCCGCCTGGGCCCTTCTCTGTCCTGGGTCCCCTCCCTGTCTTGGGGTTCCCCCGTCCCAGGGGTCTCCTCTCTCCTCCGGGTCCCCTCACTGCCACGTCGCCTGTGGTGCCCACACAGCTGTAGGCCCGGGTGGCTGGGGGTGTCTGAGGAGCAGGCACCTTGGGGTGTGCTGAGCTGGTGCCACGAGCCCCTCTGCTCGCGACATCTGCTTTGTGGCCTGGGACAGCTCAGGGGTGGCTCCTGGGGCCACAGAGCACTTCGGCCGCCCCCACGCGTGGGAGGGGTCGCCGTGCGCTCAGGCGTGACCCTGAGCCCGGGAGGCCTGGCTCACTGGGGTGAGGTCGGCTCTGGGCCTGTTTTCCCATCCACGCGGCTTCACCTTGGGGACCCAGTCGCTGTGCCCGCCCTGGCCTCCCGTGGTGGGGGCCGTGGCTCATCCCCACCCGCCTCGCATGCTGTGTCCACAGACGTCCATCAAGTCCCTGGACGGCTCTGTGGACGAGAAGAAGCTGCGTGAGCTGACGCACCGCTACGTGACGCTCATGGCACGCCTGGAGAAGCTGGGCTACAGCCGCGAGGTGCACCCGGCCTTCAGCGAGTTCCTCGTCAACACCTACGGCATCCTGCAGAAGCGGCCCGACCTGCGCGCCAGCCCGCTGCACAGCAGCCCGGCCGCGCTGCGCAAGCTGGCCATCGACATCGTGCCCCCGAAGTTCCTGGGCGACTCCCTGCTGCTGCTCAACTGCCTGTGCGAGCTCTCCAAGGACGACGGCAAGCCGCTCTTCGCCTGGTGAGCCGGGCCCGCCGCCAGCCTCTCCTGCAATAAACGTGTTTGTTCCAAACCTGGGGGCCGCCGTGCCTCCTGCGCGTCCCCTTGGCCAGGGGGAAGGGCCGCGTCCACGAGGGAGCGCCCAGGGCCGCAGGTGGGCGCAGGGCCAAGCCGGCGCCTGCCACAGCCCCGGCCGGGCACACCCGAGGTGCCCACGGCTCCGCCGGCCGCCCACATGGCGTGGCGCTTGTCACACTTTATTAAAATCTTCTGTTTACTCGTCTACCTTTCCCTTTGGCTCTTTGAGGGCATGGAGAGCGCCTTGGTCACTGCGGGGGCCGCAGGAGGCGCCCTGGTGCTTGCGGACAGGAGCTGGGACAGAGCCCCGAGCGGGAAGGCCTGCGGCTCAGGCACGGCCCCAAGAGCTTCCCCTTGGAAGGGCCAGCAGCGCCTGTCCCAAACGCAGAGCCTGAGGCAAGGATTCGGCATGGGAAGGGTGGCCGCAGAATCAGCAGCCCCTGCGTGGAGTGAGTCCGGCCGATGCTGGGGCGCGCGCTGGGTGGTCAGCCGCCTGTGAAGCCGGCCCGGGGCGGCATTCGGGGAGCTGATTCGAGGAAGCGGGAGCCGCCATGCAGCGGGGGCCCGTGCAGCATGCTAACGGGCTCCGCGCTTGCTCCCTGCCTGAGTCTGGAATCAGGAGCCCCGGTTCCTTTAGTCGGAGAATGGCAGTGGGGACCGGGCCTGGGCACCCGGCGACACCACTGTTCCCTGCCAGCGGGGGCGCTTTCCAGGGCCCCTGTCCAGGAACGGCTTACAGCGCCTACCAGAGGCGGTGATGTCTCAGAACCCAGCGTCACGCTGGGTCCAGTCCCTTCATCGGCTCCGGGACCATCTCCACCGGACACACCCCTCGCTGGGGCCTTGGTCTAGAGGGCGAGGCCTCCTGCGCCCAGGGCCAGGGCGGAGCGCCCGCACCTCCCTGGGGTCTGGCTTCGAGCGTGGTCTCCAGGAAGAAGGTGCTGGGGTTTCTGGGATAATCCTGGTGTGGGGTGACCTGTCCCTCAGTCCTCAAGCCTGGGGTGTCCAGGCGCCTGAGGCCCCTGTCTTGGTTGGCTCCGGCGGCCCTAACAGCACCACGGATGGCAGCTGAACCCACGGACTGTACGATCTCCCGCCTGGAGGCCGGAGTCCGAGATACGGTGCCACACGGCTGGTCCCTCCCCAGGCCTCTCGGGGACCTCTGCCGATGCTCCAGTGTAGCACGAGGACCCCGCCGGAAGCGGCTGGCGGGCACTTGGGGTGTCCTGGGCTGTGGGCTGTCCCCATGTGGACCTGGCGCTGGGCCGGGCTTGGACAGCTGTGTTGCTGGGCCTGTGCTGCCGGCCAGGTTCTCAGAGGGTCTCTGGGCTCCCTGGCCACCCTAGGGTGGTGGGGCCCCTCCTCCACGTCCCAGTGAGCCACGGCTGGAGGGCCGGCCCCCTGAGGCTCCGCAGCTGGGGAGCCAAAAGGGCTAGGAATCTCCACACCCTGGCCCCACGGCGACTGCCTGGGGTGAAGTAGCCTCAGGCGCTGAGTGCCCCAAAGGCTGTGTGGGGTGTCTGTGCTTGGGAGGGTGACAGAGGGGGTACAGCCTGCTCTTGGGAGGGCCTGTGGGGTGTCCATGTGCTGTCAGGATGGCCACGTGATTGTTTGCAGAATTAATGCCCACCCTGATTAAAAGTCACCCAGGGCTTCAAGACAGCGTCCACCTGAGCCTGGCCTTCTGCACACAGGGCCGGCCGGGGGTATGTCACCCCTTCACGGGAGCTTCCGGCCTTGGGGAGCAGCAGCCAGAGGTGGGGGGAGCTGGGGCCTCGTCCGGCCGCCTGCACACCACCCCCGCCTCTGCTGTCTGACCAGGCAGCTCCCCACTGGTCCCCCGGGCGCCCCGAGGCTGGGTGTTTACACAGAGGGTCACCCGCAGGGTCATGAGGGAGGTCACACATACGACCCTCAGGTGGCTGTGGGCCACGCTGAGATTGGGGCCCGGGCTGCCATGAGGTCATGGTCAGGGAGGGCCTGTCCCCACTGAGGACTTGGTCGCGGGGACCCCGCACAGAGCGATTCTTCCCCTGCCACCATCAGCGTGGCCGGGCTGGGTCCCTCCCCTCCCTGGGCGGCTCAGGCCTCGGCCTGTCGCTCTCCACACCTGGTTAACAAGTGGGCGCCAGGGGACCCGGCCGCTCTGTCTTCCTGCCCTGTGAGGGCAGCGTCTGGCCCAGGGTCAGGTCCAGGCCATGTCCCGCCTGGCAGAACGTGTCCCCAACTTCTTGGAGGCCAACCAGCAGGAGGTGAGGTGTTTGGGGGGCCGCCAAAGGTTCAGGGCCTGCCTGGTGTGGGCTTGGGGACCGTCTACCATCGGCCCTCAGGGGCGTGGCCCCCGAGCGTGGACTTGACAGTGACCGACCTGCGTGTGAAGACGTGGGCAGCAGGGCCAGTCCGGCCGGGGTCCAGGCCCCGGGTCCGGGTGAGCCACTTGGCCCCGTAGGCCTCTTTGAGGGCCCCAGCCACAGTTCCTCTGTCTGCCCCTCCCCGCACCTCATCCTCACGCCCCTACAAGGAAACTGAGGCACGGAGCAGTCTGGGCCCAAGCCCCCGCCCCCAGCCTCGGGCCCGTCTGTCACCTCAGAGGTTCTGGGCCCACTGGGGGCTGCTCGGGGGCCGGGGCCCTGACTGCCACCGTGGCCTTTGGTCCCCTTCTCAGAGGCTGGGCAGCCCTCTGCCAGGCTCCATTCTCCTGGGGGTGCCGCCCCTTGTCCCGTCCCTGCCAACTCCGGCGGCCAGGGTCCCCCAGGCTCCTGCTTGTGGGGGGATTGCCAAGTGCCTGGCGCCAGCTCCCTGGGCACAGCACTGGGCGGGCGAGAACAGGGCACGCGGCCACCTCCCAGGCTCCGGCTGTCCCTTTGGAGTGGGGAGGCTGAGGCCATCTCCCGAGCCACAGCGCAGCCCCCGGGCTGCTGGACGTGGACGCCGGCCCCTCCACCAACCGCACCATCTACACCTTCGCGGGGCAGCCAGATGATGCGGCAGAGGGCGGCCTCAATGCCGCCCGGGCTGCCTCCCCACTCCCCGACACGCGTGGACACAGAGGTGAGGGGCCACCCTGCCACACGGGGTCCCCAGAGTCTCCGAACGGCCTCAGACGCGGCCCACGGAGTCCGCTGTGCCGGGCGGAGCTGCATGGGGCCCCCACCCAGTTTCAGGGAGACTGGCAGGGAGCCCCACGCACTCTGAGCGGCCTGGGGTGAGGACAAGGTGAAGACAGGGACCAGCTGGAACCAGCCTGTCGACAGCCCACAAAGCCAAACACGGCAGGTGGGGGGCAGGGTCAAAGGTCTCGGCTCTAGCAGGGGGAGGCCAGGCCCGCAGGCGGGGGACTCACCAGTGACCCAGGGCCAGGAGAGGGCTCATCCCAAAGCTGGAGCTGCCTAGGGGGAGGGGAGGGGTGTGTTGGGGGTGGGGTGGGTTCCCTCACCTGGAGGCGGGCTCCTGGCCTACAGCAGGATGGGCAGGGACCCAGCTTAGTGAGGACAGATGGAGGACGGAGGAAGGACAAGGGCACACCGTCATGCAGTGTGGACGGAGGAAGGACCCGGTCACGCAGTGTGGACTGGCAGCCGGGGCGGAGGTGGCCGGCGCCCGCGCAGGCCGCGTCGGCCTTCCAGCTGGCCAGGGCTCACTGAGAGCACAGCTCCGCGCCCTTGGGAGTCGTCTCTGTGGCTCTCAGGAGAGGAGGGGGTGACACCCTTGACCTAAAACTCAAAGACCTTTCACAGCGAGAGGCGACGAGCGTTTGCCTGGGAGACCCTGGCTCAGGCCGCCCCCGGACAGTGTCCTGATGAGGAGACAAAGGCGGAGGTGCTTAGGGGAAGGGGAAGGGGACGGTGACAGCCCCAGGAAGGCAGTCCCATGGCGCGGAAGGCGTAGCCCAGCGACATTACTTCTAAACCGTGACTTTAACGATCAGCCCTGCAGCCCCGCGCTGCGCTGCCCTCCTGTCATCCTGGCAAGTGGTTCTCTGGGGCTGG